TGTCCTGATATCCAGAAGCTCTTTTTGGTTATAAGAGACGATGGCAGAAACATTATGTACAAAATAAATTACAAATAACGCGGAAAAACACACATAATAGTACAATTGGTTAGAGGGCTGTAAAACGGCAGCCATCTTCTTCGGCACTGAGTTTGAAGGTGGGCCTTGAAATACACTGCTCAAAAAAATAAAGGGAACACTTAAACAACACATCCTAGATCTGAATGAATGAAACAATCTTATTAAATACTTTTTTCTTTACATAGTTGAATGTGCTAACAACAAAATCACACAAAAATTATCAATGGAAATCAAATGTATCAACCCATGGAGGTCTAGATTTGGAGTCACCCTCAAAATTAAAGTGGAAAACCACACTACAGGCTGATCCAACTTTGATGTAATGTCCTTAAAACAAGTCAAAATGAAGCTCAGTAGTGTGTGTGGCCTCCACGTGCCTGTATGACCTCCCAACAACGCCTGGGCATGCTCCTGATGAGGTGGCGGATGGTCTCCTGAGGGATCTCCTCCCAGACCTGGACTAAAGCATCCGCCAACTCCTGGACAGTCTGTGGTGCAACGTGGCGTTGGTGGATGGAGCGAGACATGATGTCCCAGATGTGCTCAATTGGATTCAGGTCTGGGGAACGGGCGGGCCAGTCCATAGCATCAATGCCTTCCTCTTGCAGGAACTGCTGACACACTCCAGCCACATGAGGTCTAGCATTGTCTTGCATTAGGAGGAACCCAGGGCCAACCGCACCAACATATGGTCTCACAAGGGGTCTGAGGATCTCATCTCGGTACCTAATGGCAGTCAGGCTACCTCTGGCGAGCACATGGAGGGCTGTGCGGCCCCCCAAAGAAATGCCACCCCACACCATGACTGACCCACCGCCAAACCGGTCATGCTGGAGGATGTTGCAGGCAGCAGAACGTTCTCCACGGCGTCTCCAGACTCTGTCACGTCTGTCACATGTGCTCAGTGTGAACCTGCTTTAATCTGTGAAGAGCACAGGGCGCCAGTGGCAAATTTGCCAATCTTGGTGTTCTCTGGCAAATGCCAAACGTCCTGCACGGTGTTGGGCTGTAAGCACAACCCCCACCTGTGGACGTCGGGCCCTCATACCACCCTCATGGAGTCTGTTTCTGACCGTTTGAGCAGACACATGCACATTTGTGGCCTGCTGGAGGTCATTTTGCAGGGCTCTGGCAGTGCTCCTCCTGCTCCTCCTTGCACAAAGGCAGAGGTAGCGGTCCTGATGCTGGGTTGTTGCCCTCCTACGGCCTCCTCCACGTCTCCTGATGTACTGGCCTGTCTCCTGGTAGCGCCTCCATGCTCTGGACACTACGCTGACAGACACAGCAAACCTTCTTGCCACAGCTCGCATTGATGTGCCATCCTGGATGAGCTGCACTACCTGAGCCACTTGTGTGGGTTGTATAGACTCTCATGCTACCACTAGAGTGAAAGCACCACCAGCATTCAAAAGTGACCAAAACATCAGCCAGGAAGCATAGGAACTGAGAAGTGGTCTGTGGATACCACCTGCAGAACCACTTCTTTATTGGGGGTGTCTTGCTAATTGCCTATAATTTCCACCTGTTGTCTATTCCATTTGCACAACAGCATGTGAAATGTATTGTCAATCAGTGTTGCTTCCTAAGTGGACAGTTTGATTTCACAGAAGTGTGATTGACTTGGAGTTACATTGTGTTGTTTAAGTGTTCCCTTTATTTTTTTGAGCAGTGTACATCCACAGGTACACTTCCAATTGACTCAAATGATGTCAATTAGCCTATCAGAAGTTTCTAAAGCCCTGACATCATTTTCCAAGCTGTTTAAAGGCACAGTCAACTTAGTGTATGTAAACTTCTGACCCACTGGAATTGTGATACAGTGAATTATAAGTGAAAAAAATCTGTCTGTAAACAATTGTTGGAAAAATTACTTGTGTCATGCACAAAGTAGATGTCCTAACCGACTTGCCAAAACTATAGTTTGTTAACAAGAAATTTGTGGAGAGGTTGAAAAACGAGCTTTAATGACTCCAACCTAAGTATATGTATATGTATATCTATCCTCCCGGCCGGCTCGGTCCTCCCCTCCAGCTCCGTGGCTTGATGACTCATTGCGAGCTCACAGAACAGAGCTCCGGGCAGCGGAGCGGAAATGGAAGAAAACTAAACTCCCTGCCGACCTGGCATCTTTTCACTCCCTCCTCTCTACATTTTCTTCATCTGTTTCTGCTGCTAAGGCCACTTTCTACCACTCTAAATTCCAAGCATCTGCCTCTAACCCTAGGAAGCTCTTTGCCACATTTTCCTCCCTGCTGAATTGACCGCTGGCCATGTCCCTTCCGTCTTCAAGAGAGCGAGAGTTGCACCCCTTCTCAAAAAACCAACACTCGATCCCACTGATGTCAACAACTACAGACCAGTATCCCTTCTTTCTTTTCTTTCCAAAACTATTGAGCGTGCCGTCTTTAGCCAACTCTCTTGCTATCTCTCTCAGAATGACCTTCTTGATCCAAACCAGTCAGGTTTCAGGACTGGTCATTCAACTGAGACTGCTCTTCTCTGTGTCACGGAGGCTCTCCGCACTGCTAAAGCTAACTCTCTCTCCTCTGCTCTTGTCCTTCTAGACCTGTCTGCTGCCTTTGATACTGTGAACCATCAGATCCTCCTATCCACCCTCTCCGAGCTGGGCATCTCCGGCGCGGCTCACTCCTGGATTGCGTCCTACCTGACCGGTCGCTCCTACCAAGTGGCGTGGCGAGAAGCTGTCTCCGCACCACGTGCTCTCACCACTGGTGTCCCCCAGGGCTCAGTTCTAGGCGCTCTCCTATTCTCCCTATACACCAAGTCACTTGGCTCTGTCATATCCTCACATGGCCTCTCCTATCATTGCTACGCTGACGATACACAACTAATCTTCTCCTTTCCCCCTTCTGATAACCAGGTGGCGAATCGCATCTCTGTATGTCTGGCAGACATATCAGTATGGATGACGGATCACCACCTCAAGCTGAACCCTGGCAAGACGGAGCTGCTCTTCCTCCCGGGGAAGGACTGCCCGTTCCATGATCTCGCCATCACGGTTGACAACTCCGTTGTGTCCTCCTCCCAGAGTGCGAAGAGCCTTGGCGTGACCCTGGACAACACCCTGTCGTTCTCCGCTAACATCAAGGCGGTGACCCGATCCTGCAGGTTCATGCTCTACAACATTCGGAGAGTACGACCCTGCCTTACACAGGAAGCGGCACAGGTCCTAATCCAGGCACTTGTCATCTCCCGTCTGGATTACTGCAACTCGCTGTTGGCTGGCCTCCCTGCCTGTGCCATTAAACCCCTACAACTCATCCAGAATGCCGCAGCCAGTCTGGTGTTCAACCTTCCCAAGTTCTCTCACGTCACCCCCCTCCTCCGCACACTCCACTGGCTTCCAGTTGAAGCTCGCATCCGTTACAAGACCATGGTGCTTGCCTATGGAGCAGTGAGGGGAACGGCACCTCCGTACCTTCGGGCTCTGATCAGTCCCTACACCCAAACGAGGGCATTGCGTTCATCCACCTCTGGCCTGCTGGCTCCCCTTCCTCTGCGGAAGCATAGTTCCCGCTCAGCCCAGTCAAAACTGTTCGCTGCTCTGGCACCCCAATGGTGGAACAAGCTCCCTCACGACGCCAGGACAGCGGAGTCACTCACCACCTTCCGGAGACATTTGAAACCCCACCTCTTTAAAGAATACCTGGGATAGGATAAAGTAATCCTTCCACCACCACCCCCCCCCCCCAAAAAAAAAGGAAAAAAAAGTGTAAAGTGGTTATCCCACTGGCTATAGGGTGAATGCACCAATTTGTAAGTCGCTCTGGATAAGAGCGTCTGCTAAATGACGTAAATGTGCCCTTGAGCAAGGCACTTAACCCTAATTGCTCCTGTAAGTCGCTCTGGATAAGAGCGTCTGCTAAATGACTAAAATGTAAATGTAAATGTAAATGTAACCTGACTTCAACTATATCTCCAGGCAATGGCAGTCCTAACTTGGAAGTGATAGGTGGGCGTAATTAAGGCTTATGTAACATTCACATTGGCCTGAGGTGGCTTTCTAAAGAACACTAATTGGCCAAACCCCATTAGACTTCCTCCTACTCATACGTAAAAAATTAATAAAATAAAAACTGTTCGGAACCTCTAATATTGAGATGCACCACTTTTTAGACTATTGACCAATGTTTTCCACCCCCAAAACCAAACCTAAGCAGACAGTCCTCTAAAGGCAGGTAAGAATGCATTTGATTTAAGACATTGTACTGTAATCACTCGGTAAGTCAGCAATTGAAGCCCAGTTTATTGTACAACATTCATAATGTAACACTGTTCGCCTGAGGGGAAACAATATCCACGGGAAAAGGTCAACGCGGCAGTCCTCTCTTCAGCACATTAACAACATGGAAATGGGACAAAACACAGTGACATACCAAGAACCATGCCACTTTACTGTTAGACATTAACATTTGACTGACACGCACATGAGCACATTCCAAGGCTAATACATGTTTTCTGACATCCCCATGCAAAGACAATGACAGTCTCAAGGGAAGAGGAGGGAGTCTCACTAACTGGTGTGGGACAAGGATTAGAGATCACATACAGAGGAGGAGATCTGGATAGGCATGCAGAGGCAAAGACCCACGAACAAAACAGCAATTTCTTCCCATTCACAACAAAACCCAACATTGTACACACAGTGTTTACAGAGTTAAAGGGCTTTCGGGTGTTTTTCCTCTGTCCCTGTGTCTGAAAAACAGCAGCAGGGGACATCCCTCCCAGGCTGCAGTTCGGGGTCCTGGGCTGAGGGTTCCCTTCGTCAAGACCCCGGGGGTCCATTGCACCCCTACACCTCCAACCCCCTCATCCAAGAGCCCTGCTCATTGCACTCGCCCTATGTTCCACAATGTTCAGAATGGGAGGGGAATGAGGTCCGTCTACGCCCCCAAAGGTTAAAGTTCAAATGCAGGGAAGCAGGAAGATTCCGGCTGGGTCAACTCTGACAGGTAGTGGATAGCCCCGGCCATACCTGGATAAGAAGAGAGAATGGTTTATTTCAAATTCAATAAGGCGTCATTACATGGTATCAACAGCAGCTAATGATGAATTATTTCACAATTTACAACAGTGAAATACACACTACACAATAAATCAATCAGCAAAATCTACAACTTAAAATACATATCTTCTGTGAGTAAGGATGAAGAAAGAGACCAGGGTCACATTACAAGCAGAAACAGTACAACCTAAGCTTGGGCGGTATACTGAATGACAGGATATTTCGAAATACCCTCGGTATGATTTTCCAATACAGTTTAATAAATAAAAATATTTGTACATTTTAAATAAATACCTGCAGTCAACTTTAGGTAATAGATAAAGCAGTCAACTTTAGGTAATAGATAAAGCAGACTGAGTTAATCATTTCGCCTGTTGGATTATTTTTCATTATGAAGCTTACCGGCACTAATTTCAAAAACATCTGTTTGAGCCAGTCACTTGTTTGTTTACAAAGAAGCACAATGAGCTTCGTAAGGTGAGTCACTCCTGCAGTGCAACTTAAGTGAGGTGATCAAGTTACACTTGTATGAAATGTACTACTAATCTTAGCCAGCTATATATACAGTGCATTCGTAAAGTATTCAGACCCCTTGACTTTTTCCACATTGTTACGTTACAGCCTTATTCTAAAATGGATTACATAGTTTTCCCCCCTCATCAATCTACACACAATACCCCATAAATGACAAAGCACATTTTTAGAATTTTTTGCAAATGTATTAAAAATACAAAACTGAAATACCACATTTACGTAAGTATTCAGACCCTTTACTCAGTACCTTGTTGAAGCACCTTTGGCAGCGATTACAGCCTTGAGTCTTCTTGGGTATGATGCTACAAGCTTGGCACACCTGTATTTGGGGAGTTTCTCCCATTCTTCTCTGCAGATCCTCTCAAGCTCTGTCAGGTTGGATGGGGAGCGTCGCTGCACAGCTATTTTCAGAGATGTTCAATTCCGGGCTCTGGCTGGGCCACTCAAGGACATTGAGACTTGTCCCGAAGCCACTCCTGCATTGTCTTGGCTGTGTGCTTAGGGTCGTTGTCCTGTTGGAAGGTGAACCTTCGCCCCAGTCGGAGGTCCTGAGCGCTCTGGAGCATGTTTTCATCAAGCATCTCTCTGTACTTTGCTCCGTTCATCTTTCCCTCGATCCTGACTAGTCTCCCAGTCCCTGCCACTGAAAAACATCCCCACAGCATGATGCTGACACTACCATGCTTCACCGTAGGGATGGTGCCAGGTTTCCTCCAGACGTGATGCTTGGCATTCAGGCCAAAGAGTTCAATCTTATTTTCGTCAGACCAGAGAATCTTGTTTCTCATGGTCTGAGAGTCCTTTAGGTGCCTTTTGGCAAACTCCAAGCGGGATGTCATGTGTCTTTTACTGGAGGAGTGGCTTCCGTCTACCACAGGTGGACTCCAATCAAGTTGTAGAAACATCTCAAGGATGATCAATGGAAATAGGATGCACCTGAACTAAATTTCGAGTCTCATAGCAAAGGGTCTGAATACTTACGACCCTAAGCACACAGCCAAGACAATGCAGGAGTGGCTTCGGGACAAGTCTCAATGTCCTTGAGTCTCAATGTACTTTCCGAATGCACTGTATATAACTATTACGTTAACGATTTAAGATGTGCCAAAGGTATCAGTTTGATTTTTTATACATTTGCTAAAATTTCTAAAAACCAGTTTTCGCTTTGTCATTATGGGGTATTGTGTGTAGATTGATGAGGAACGTTTTTTATTTAAATCAATTTTAGAATAAGGCTGTAAGGTAACAAAATGTGGAAAAGGGGAAGGGGTCTGAATACTTTCCGAATGCACTGTGTATAACTATTAAGTTAACTATTTAAGATGTGCCAAATAAATTCTCTCCAGCTGGGTTTTTTGTCAACTTCCTAACATTAGCTAACGTTAGCTTGCAATATCAAGCTTCTTGATAACAGCAGCAGAGACAATCCCCTCCTGGATTAAGAGCCCTGCTGTGTAATATTTGTTTTGTGCGTGCTGCAAACTGCGTTTTTAGATACTTGCATAATCTTTTGAGCTGGGTTGTCTGTCTTAGTAGTAAATGTTTGCATGCGCTCATTAGCATTTACCTAGCATCCGCTATGGGGATTCCTTAGTACTTGTTAGCATTTTGATAGCATTCTGGTAGATGTTTTATTTTCTATTTATTTTTATTTTTTATGTCTGTTTTTTTATTTTTTGGCCCGTGTACACTACCGGTAATACCGTCTATCCCAGGACGGCACAGGCGCGGTATGATGGTATGGACATCTGGATACCGCCCAACCCTACAACCCCATATACATGAAAGCTTTGCTTACAAATCACTCACCACTCGTCATGGTTTTGTTCATTCACAATGATAAATAACTCCATCTCAAATCTCTTTGAAAGAGTTCAAAGAGCTTAAAATGCACTTGTAACACTGTTGGTACACCAGCAATGTGAAATATTACATACTGTATTCAGTTATTACATACAAGACATGAACATTCAATATTCTAGGTTGTACAGTCAAGATGGGTCCATATATTATTAATAAAATTAAACTGCTGCAATATTTTTTACCAGACTGTTTATCAGTGAAAGACTAATTCAGACAGGGATGGGAAAAGGGAGTGTACGTGTTTGTTTGTGTGTGAGTGTGAGTGTGAGTGTGAGAGTGAGTGTGAGAGTGAGAGTGAGTGTGAGAGAGAGAGACGAAGGGGGTTAAGGCCAACCAAACACAGCCCACAAATCTACTCTGACGTGGGCAGCAACTGGTTGCCATGGAGACATGGAGGTAAAACGCCAGGCAAGACGTTTCATGTGGCTGCACACAACACGTGGAGGGGATGGGGGGGGATGGGGGGGGGGGACAAAGCTGGCATAGGGAACCCTCACCAGTGGACCAATGGCAGAACCAAACAGAGGCCAATCATTGCCAAACTGAAGGTAACGATTGCCGCTCTCAGATTATTTGGACTGTGCCCGTTGACAGGTCTTATAATGTAAAATCAGCCTTGCCTGACCAGCTGATAAAGCAATCAAAGTTGTCTTCACACCCTCACACAACATTTATCACAATCTCCAATTTGGACTCCAGACCAAAGGACACATTTCCACCTGTCTAATGTCCATTGCTCGTGTTTCTTGGCCCAAGCAAGTCTCTTCTTGTTATTGGTGTCCTTTAGTAGTGGTTTCTTTGCAGCAATTCAACCATTAAGGCCTGATTCACGCAGTCTCCTCTGAACAATTAATGTTGAGATGTGTCTGTTACTTGAACTCTGTGAAGCATTTATTTGGGCTGCAATTTCTGAGACTGGTAGCTCTAATGAACTTATCCTCTGCAGCAGAGGTAACTCTGGGTCTTCCATTCCTGTGGCGGTCCTCATGAGAGCCAGTTTCATCATAGCGCTTGATGGTTTTTGCGACACCACTTGAAAAAACTTTCAAAGTTCTTGAAATGTTCTATATTGACTGACCTTCATGTCTTAAAGTAATGATGGACTGTCGTTTCTCTTTGCTTATTTGTGCTGTTCTTGCCAGAATATGAACTTGGTATTTTACCAAATAGGGCTATCTTCTGTATACCCCCCTACCTTGTCACAACACAACTGATTGGCTCAAACGCATTAAGAAGGAAAGAAATTCCACAAATTAACTTTAAGAAGGAACAGCAGTTAATTGAAATGCATTCCAGGTGACTACCACATGAAGCTGGTTGAGAGAATGCCAAGATTGTGCAAAGCTGTCATCAAGGCAAAGGATTGCTACTTTGAAGAATCTCAAATATAAAATATATTTTGATTTGTTTAACACATTATGGGTTACTACATGATTCCATATGTGTTATTTCATAGTTTATGTCTTCACTATTATTCTACAATGTAAAAAATAGTACAAATAAAGAAAAACCCTTGAATGAGTAGGTAGTGTATATTTAAAGCAAATTCAGTCTGCATTTTCCTCGGAAATGACAGTGGTTATTACATTAATTGAATGGGAAGAAGAGAAGGCGGAAAATGTCACGTATTTTGGGGATGTTTCTGTCTGCTTAAGGGGTTTAAATAAAGTTTCACCTTCAAACAGAGAATACGGTCTGTCTGGGATTCTGCAGCCGTGGGTTCCATAGTCCAGACACCACTCAGCAAACTGGGGAAAAATTAGGACCAATGTGATTACCAGAACATAAGGTTAAACATGAAAGACAATAAATTATACTGTACGCTACCATACTTGGATACATGAATAAATAATATATGTGAACCATGCATGCAGTAATTCAAAAATCCAAAGGATTTGATAAATGAATGCACAAATTAATTGATTAAAATTCAATGACTAAAAAGCATTCAGGACTAAAGTTATTCACAGACAACCGGATTCCACACTGAGACAATACATATCGACACAAGCAAGCGAGAATGCAGACATAACACCCTAACATAGGCTATATTAAAAAACCAAGAAAGCTGGAAAACAATGAATGAAATCCAAGGGAATGATTCATCATATAATGATTATTTGTCAGTAAGAAGAATGGCCTTCAATATTGGCAATGGTACAATACAATACAATTACACACAATACTTGTCATGATAAAGACTTTTGCGTCTCTGTGTAGTCGTGCCTTTAGCAGCTTTGTTAGGGCAGGCTGCCTACGCTATACTGTACATGTGGGCGAATCCTTCCTTCCCCTCTCATTCACACAGAGGAATAAGATCTGAAGGACAATACTGCTGGAGTATCTAGGAGCTCCACAGCCCCTCATCACACACACCCACACACAGTGCAGTGTGTTACCTTGCATGCACGGTAGAGGTACTTCTTCTCCTGGGTGAGCTGATAGAGGGTGAGGAAGGAGTAGGCGTTGCCCGCCGTGCCGTGACAAATACCGTAACCTTTCCTTAGCAGGCCTCTCTGCCAGATCACCTCCCCACACTCCACAGCATCCTTCAGGTACTTCTCCTCCTTAAACACCTGGAGGGAGAGGGATGGTGGGAGGTAGGTAGGAAAGGGGAGACATGACAGACTCATGCCCAATCCCAAACCCCATCCGAAATACAACCCCTAACTTCCCACACACTGGTGGGGATCGGAAAGAATTTGATGTAAGAAACATGGTAGTAGTGTCCTTTCATCTTGCCCTGCCATTTATAAATCAGGAATTTTCTTCATGTACACCTAATCAATTGCCCTTACATTACATAGGGAGTCTGAAATAGCCAAAGACAGTATCAAATCAATGAACTTTATTTTATAAAGCCCTTTTTACATCATCATTTGTAACAGTGCTTTACAGATATCAAGCCTAAAACCCCAAAGAGCAAGCAATGCAGATGCACATTGGCTAGGAAAAACTTCCTAGAAAACACGAACCTGAATACAGGTGATACGCAAATTTTTTTCTTCATGAAGTTAATGGACCAAAGAAAGATTAAATGAAATGACCCTGCACCGTGTGTGTGGGTGTGTATGTATGCGTGTGTGTACCCCCCTGAATGTGAGTGTGTATTCATGCCAGACTACAACTGATGAAATGCACCATGTGGTTTGTCAGAGATGAAGCGTTTATCATGGGAAATCTCCTCTCCACATGCTCAAAATGTGTGTGTTCTCTCTCTCTCCAATCGTTCTGTCGCTCCTTCCATTAGTAATTTCAAAGGGAGAGAGTGTGCGTTTTCAGACCTGCTGTGAGAGTCAGTTTGTAAGAGGCCATGCTGAGCACAGCAGAAAAACAGCCCATTCCTCAACAAGGCCTCTTGAAATTGACTGTGGTATTAAACCAGCAGACTAGCATGTCAAAGCTGGGATGTAGTGATTGTTTAAATTCAGTCGGTAATCTAAATGTGACACCAGGGCCCGTAGTGATCCTAGTGCTGATCGAGGATCAGGCCTCCACTGTCCGTATAATCGTAGAATATAATGTATCCTACTGTGAGACGCTTTGTGAATAGGGGCCTTGGTCCTACAGTGCACTTGATAGCCACTAGGCGTCACTGTGGGTTGTGTATTTCTCATAAGAGACGAGCCACAGAGCTGGCGCATTGAGATGCAGCAGGAGCTTTTATGTTCATTACTTCCAGCTATAGATTTAATTCTCTTTCCTGGGTGATTCCATGCAATTACGTGAGAGTGGCAGAGCTGGAGGCACTAGAGGAGAGGGCCTGGTTCACTGCTATCTCTGAGTCCACTGTATGGGAGAGTAGCGGAGTGCTATAATGGAACTCATGGTGTTAGTTAACATGATATTGATATTAGGAAAACAAATTAGCCCTAATATTGTGAGAGCGTATTCATGAGGGTTAGAGAGCTGTGCTAGAGAGGAGAGGGTGGTGTTGAGTGTTCCTATCCAAATCCTTTCAGATCTACTTGAAGAGCCATTACTATCGTGTGGTGTGTGTGTGTCCCTAACCTTGTGTGCCATGATGAGCATGTGCACCACTCCTGGCGCCCCGTGGCACCAGTGCACCAGCCGGTCCGTCTCGTTGCTTAGCGACGACGGGTAGTTCCCCGAGCGGAACTTTTTGTGGCGGACGTAGTCCACACTGGGCCGCACCAACTCAGATAGGACTTCCTGGTTCACCTTAGCACTGGGCTAAGAGAGAGAGAGACCAAGAGATGGAAAGAAAAGGGAGAGGGGGGTGAGAGAAAGCCAGAAAGAGAGAGGGGGTGAGAGAAAAAAAGAGGGAAAGAAAAAAAGAGGCACAAGTTCAGGGGACATGAAGACAGGTGGTGTAACTATTGTGGAATACTGACATCTGTAAACACAGTCTGCTGAAATCTGATGGTATGCATATCACAACCATCCTTATCGCGATAAACAATTAATACACAACATATCACCTGGTCTGAAACATCCCAGAGCATTAGAATTCAGCAGGTTTGTCAGATATTACATATATGAGAGAACGTTAGGCAAATACATGTAAGTGCGGGCCATTTTAACTTGGTTTCCCTAAGAGACTAAACTGTAAAATCAAATAGAAATCCCAGACTCAACGTTCATTATCCCAAATAACACTCAGCAGTGGTGAATATGCACTTGATGGTTTTTACTGCACAGAGAGAGATGAATTAGAGGGAAGTGTCAGAGAGAATTTATGACAAGGACAATCTTTTCATTTGGCTCTGTGGAGAGAGAGAGAGAGAGAGAGAGAGAGAGAGAGAGAGAGAGAGAGAGAGAGAGAGAGAGAGAGAGAGAAATACAGACAGAAACAGAGAGAGAAAAATACAGACAGAAACAGAGAGAGCGAGAGCGAGAGCGAGAGAGAGAGCGAGAGAGAGAGAAATATACAGACAGAAACAGAGAGCGAGAGAGAGAGAGAGAGCGAGAGAGAGAGAGAGAGAGAGAGAGAGAGAGAGAGAGAGAGAGAGAAATATACAGACAGAAACAGAGAGAGCGAGAGAGAGAGGCCATGCTGAGAAACATGGCCTACAGGAGAGAAGACTGCTGTTAGATAATATTACAGCCATAGACAGGGATGGAGGGAGCTGTTGGATATTAATACTGCCAGAGAGGGTGAAGAGGAGGAGCAGGAGGAGAGAGAGAGGACTACTTTTACAGAATATTACAGCCAGAGAAGGAGTGATGGAGGAGAGGAGGAGAAAAGACTACTGTTAGAGAATATTTGAGGGAGGGAGATGAGAGAGAAAGGAGAGCGCTTCTGTTAGACATGATTAGACAGAAAGGAGAGGAGGAAAAAGGATGAAGAGGGGGAGAGGGAGAAGAGAGAGAGCTACTGTTATTAAGCGGAGGGAGGAGGGGAGAAAGAAAGGAAGGATGAGTGGAAGATGGGTGTGTGTGTGTGTCTGAGTATAGGTGTAGCAGAGCATGTCCACGTGCGTCACAATGACACACCGCACTTGTACAGACATGCTCTCACACGCACGCACACACACACACTGCATTGCTCTAACACACAGGGAAGATAATGCATATACACAATCTATTTACTCAAAGCAGCTGGGTGCACACACTCAACGAGCGCAAATGGTAGTGGTTATCATCAAACACAAAAAGGAATCAAGTTTCAGCTTTATCCATTGTATCCATTGGGGGCTTGATAACTGTGTGCCCTGAGAGTGTGTTGGCAATTTTTTTTTTTTTTTACAGAAACACACATTTGAAATGTAGCCTTTTAGAGCAAGAAAACCAGGCCTAAATAGAGTTACTCCAACAGCTTGGGGAATACTAAATAATTCATTTCCTATTGGGTTCGGTCCAGGCTGCTATTGGGGAAATTTGCTGGACAGTGTTCTCGTGGGGTTGGGTACGCCAATGCCAAATTGGAGTTGTTACAAGGCAAAATCTATATGAGCTTTCAGTTGTGCAACAGGGGACAAAATTGCATCACAGGTATTGTCAGAGAAACCCTGGTCCCTCTTTACCATGGGGGGGGGGGGGGGATTTATCAGGGAGTGCTGCAGCACCCTCAACACCCCTATTTCCCACGGCTATGTTTTCACATTTCAAAGAATGATCGATAGATAGATGGAAACACACTTTCATAAGTTCCAAATAAGACGTGTCGTTCCAAATAAGACGTGTCCAATTTTGAATTGGGAGCTCCTTGTAAATGCTCGGGGGAAAAATACTCACAGGAATGAACACACAAACAGGCGTACTAGTGTACGCCTGCGCACACACATTATTGTAATTTAGCAGACACTCTTATCCAGAGCGACTTACAGTAGATGCATTCATCTTAAGGTAGCTAAGAGACAACTGCATTCGCAGTCATAGTAAGCCAATTTCTTCCTCATTAAGTAGCTATCAGCAAAGTCAGTGCTAGTACATACTGTACACACACACACACAATTCCCAGGCCTGCAGTTGTTTACATGCGTTTCCTGTTAGTTTGGCTGGTGGCAGTCCTTCCTCTGTTCATGTTTTAATGAGGGTCGTGTGGGTCTCAAATATTTGCAAAGCTGTAAACGCCTACGGTGTGTTTGTGTGTGTATGTGCCCTAGCACCATAGAGTTTGAAAGGGGGATAGGTGGGGGTGCAGAGCCCTGTGGCTCCAATCATCGGGAGGATTTCAATAGTCTGAAGTGGCTTCCTCACCTCGCTTCCTTCCCTTCTACTGATAATTGGAGGGGACAAGATAGTTGAAAGCAACATGGCAGGTCTGTTGCTAGTTAATGTGTACCAGTAGAGCGGTCCTGTATGGCTCAGTTGGTAGAGCATGATGCTTGCAACTTCAGGATTGCCATCCATATGTAAAATGTACGCACACATGACCGTAGGTCGATTTGGATAAAAGTGTCTGCTGAATGGCATATATTATTATATTATATTATAGATCTAAAAAGGCCCCCAGTGCACCCTGGGAACTGGTTGTGGGCGCATCATTACTCCCAATCACCACACTCCTCCCCAGGGACAGATGATGCATGGCCAACCAATCATAAGAGAGGAGAGGAGGAGAGTAGTAGAGGAGAGGCATGCTGATAGTGCCAGCATCACAGGAGGATCATAGAAACATTTACAAAGAGAAGCAAATGCCTGAGCACAGATAGAACTCTGACTACTCTCCACTGGGGATAAAGGATAAGCTACTTTCCTCCACTCTGGCCTTTAAACTCTCAGAGAGGCAGATTACATATCCAACATATGGTCGCATGGCCTCTGACAGCCTCCAATACTAATGGGTGAAGATGGGTATTAGGACTAGCTGGCCTCCATAGGAGGCTGGTGTCATAATGGAATCTTCTATGGTGGCTTGTAAGCCCTCCTTGCCTTACTTTTTGTCATAGATACCATTGAGTTACATGGATGTTTTATTTATTGGTTGTGTGTAATTACATTGTAAATGCACAGTAATTAGGCTATTTTGTATCTTTCATTGTACAACTGAGTAATGATATTCTACTTACCAAATAGCTGCAGAGAAACTAGATAAAAAGTTAGGCTAATGTAAAGTGGTCCCTTAAGCTACATCTTTTTAAGGTTAATACTATGATCCATCTGTACTATTGTTCCTCAATCTCAATCATAAGAATACTCTGCATGTGCAGAGCTGTGGTGTAGTGGTAACACCTAAATGATATACACAGAGTGTACAAAACATTAGGAACACCTTCCTAATATTGAGTTGCACCCCCTTTTGCCCTCAGAACAGCCTCAATTCGTCGGGGCATGGACTCTACAAGGTGTCGAAAGCATTCCACAGGGATGCTGGCCGATGTTGACTCCAATGCTTCCCACAGTTGTGTCAAGTTGGCTGGATGTCCTTTGGGTGGTGGACCATTCTTGATACGCACAGGAAACTGTTGAGCGTGAAAAACCCAGCAGCGATGCAGTTCTTGACACACTCAATCCGGTGCGCCTGGCACCTACTACTATACCCCATTCAAAGACACGTTTGTCTTGCCCATTCACCCTCTGAATGGCACACATACACAATCCATGTCTCAATTGTCTCAAGACTTAAAAATCCTTCTTTAACGGTCTCCTCCCCTTCATCTACACTGATTGAGGTGGATTTAACAAGTGACATCAATAAAGGATAATAGCTTTCACCTGGATTCACCTGGTCAGTCTGTGTCATGGAAAGAGTAGGTGTTCCTAATGTTTTGTGCACATATGTAGAAATATTGTGCAGAAATATATTAACATCATAAAAACCTCCCTGACTAATTTAACTAATGAGGCACATCAGTGTTACAAGCACCATGGGGAAACAAAACAACTCACAAATGATTTTAAATGGGTTCTTTTTCCCTAAAATATGAAAACGTATCGAGGTACACCCGCACCTGCCATAAAATCCAAGAACACTAATCATTAAAAAGCATATTAATCCATATACAAAGCTAATTAATCCATATTGAGGGTTTTAATTCACCGTAGTAATGGGAGTATAGGAGGTTGATCCTCTCTAGGATCTCATTATGGGATGTTGTTGTTTAGATCCTGAATAACTTATCTTATTTTATTTCCTGTGATAAATGATTAATCAGCTCAGGTGAGGGCTAATCAATCTTCTGGGTGAATTAAGATGACATATCATGATTATAAACAGTATCTCGATGAAGCAAAACATGAATATAAGCCAACCAGGAACCAGCGGTTTTAGCATGAGTCCCAAATTCCCGGGAGATACTGTGAAAACCTGCAGACTCACGGATACGGAGCCTCAGAATGAAAAGATCTGGTACCGGATTAGGAGCCACTCCCTTAAGGAAAAGCGTTATATAAATGAAATATGTATTATTAGAAACATGGCCAAAGAGACTTACTACAGTGCTTTGTATGCTATACTGTAATACCTGTAATATGCATCAATGAAATAGCAGTCAAATCTACACACTGATCGATATCACATACTAAAGATAATGTGTTCAACTCACCTGCATCAGCATGCAGTAGATGCCCGCCAGGCCGTGGGCAGCGCCAACGTACTGCTTCTTGTGCCACTCGTAGAGCAGTGGGCACTTCTCCGCCTTCTTCTCCTCTTTGGCCATGTTCTTCCCCGACTCCAAGATGGCTGTTACAACCTGCAACGACACCAACAGGAAGTGGGTTAGCCTCCCTCCCGTCTGTTTCAAAAGGTTTGGAAGAGATACTGTACATGCATGCAAGACCCTGTCCAAAGATGCTAACTACCGTAACTAACAAACAGCAAAGTTTAACGGGTCAATTCTCATTTGCATTCCTGTCAGTTGAATTGAACACGACAGTTCAATGGGAGTGCAATTAAACCCCTGAATTGATTGATATCTCCAAGAGAGAGACAGAAAGAGAAAATGTGATCTGACAGATCTCTGCTCCTGCTCCCTGTACCCTGCCGTTAGTATGCAGACTTGAGGCTGAGAGAGAAAGAGAGTGCGTGCGTCTGAACACACGTGTGCACGCACATTGGTATGCATATATGCATTAGTACCCGGTGTGAGGCAGATCGAACAGAACAGGAGGGACACAGGCAGGCAGCAGACAGACATGTCCTGGTGTTTTACACACACACACACACACACACAGGTCGTCTAGACTCTATACAGGAGACTGTCTGTAGAGCACTTTAAATCACTCCCTCCCTCACATTCTGGGCTGAGGACACACAGAAAAACAACACACGAACAGACACTTACACGGACACAACCACACGGACACACAACCACACATTCTCACAGGGACACACACAGACACAGACCACATCCTGGGCTGAAGCCCTCTCCCCCCACAGCCAGACACCTAATGTACTCCATACTGATCAGGGTGGGGATTTCATGACGATGACTAATGATTGTAGAGCAGATAAAAGACATGGCTTTATGTAATAACTGATTCATATTATTATAGGTTTTATGAACCTGCAGCTGCAGTATTTACGTCTCTTTACCAGGTGGCTTGGCATATTAGACACTTTACTGACAGGGGGAAAACATAGTTTAATACACCGTATCATTTGAGAGGTTCTGTAAAACGTAGAAGGTAGCTTGACATTTACACAAGCGTGTTAAAATGCTTTACACACACACACACACACACACACACACACACACACACACAGACAAAATTGTATTTGTCACATGCGCCGAATACAACTGGTGTAGACTTTACCGTGAAATGCTTGCTTACGAGCCCTTCCCAACAACAGAGTTTTAAAATAAAATAGTAACACAAGAGATATAAAATACACAAGAATGGAGCTATATACAGGGAGTACTGTGGAGGAAATTATTTAATTAAATACTCTGTTGTTTAAATTAGACATACTATGCTGTTTATGCTAGTATTTGTTACTGATACAAGCTTGTCTTGTGTGACTTAGTCATACATCTGAGCGTACAGATTTATAGCTGCTTGGGTGCGACTGCAGTATGTGACCTCCTTCCTTTGATTACAATCGGCAGGAATTTAGCTATGTGGGAAGTGCAGGGAGGCGAAAGAAACGCACAACTATTTAGGGGAGGTGCTGGCTAACGGAGTAGAACACTTGAATAAGAAAAGGAGAGCCGCACAATCTAGGAGCTCAGATGCAATAATTTAATAACCTAATAACCAACGTTCAAGCCAGCTTGTCTGTCGAAACGTTGGTTATTAAATGATTGCATCTGAGCTCCTAGAGTGTGCGGCTCTCCTTTTCTTATTCAAGTGCAGGGAGGAACAGAGAAATGGTGGCGATATCAGCTATCTTGATATACACAGATGAGCTAAATTACATTTTACAACTCTGTTCCCAGGACCTGTTTCTGCACATCTGCTATCTGCCATGTAGATAAGAGGTTGTATTTTTTCTATGAAAGTTGAGACCCAGCTATGATTCATTGGGCCTTAACTGCGCAACTGTTGAAGTGCATAGTTACCCGCTCCATTTTTGCAAATCTTATAATAAAGTGTTGTTTGAAAGAATTTGCAGTCTCTCTATACCAGTACCAGATCAATGTGGAGCTATATACAGGGAGTACCAGTACCAGATCAATGTGGAGCTATATACAGGGAGTACCAGTATCAGATCAATGTGGAACTATATACAGGGAGTACAAGTATCCAGATCAATGTGGAGCTATATACAGGGAGTACCAGTACCAGATCAATGTGCAGAGGTACAAGGTATTTGAGGTAGATATGTACATGAAGGCAGAGTAAAGTGACTAGGCATCAGGACAGATAATAATTAGAGTAAAATAAAGAACAAAGCAGCAAATGATGAGTGTAAAAGTGTGTGTGTGTGTATGTGTGTTTGTGTTGTGTCGTTCTGTGTGTGTGTGTGTGTGTGTGTGTGTGTGTGTGTGTGTGTGTGTGTGTGTGTGTGTGTGTGGGGGGGGGTTTTGTGTGCGAGTGTCAATGTAGTGTGTTTGAGTGAGTAAATGGTTTGTATATATTGTCTAGTGAGTGTGCGTAGGGTCAGTGCAAGATAGTTCGGGTAACATTAATTGACTATTTAGCAGTCTGGCTATTTAGCAGTTTTATGGCTTGGGGGTAGAAGCTGTCTCGGAGCCTGTTGGTCCAAGAGCCGATGCTCTGGTACCGTTTGCCGGACGGCAGCAGAGTGAACAGTCTATTGCTTGGGTGGCTGGAGTCTGCCAATTTTTTGGGCCTTCTTCTGACACTGCCTGACATAGCGGTCCTGGATGGCAGGGAGCTCGGCTGCCGTGATGTACTAGGCTGTCCGCACCACCCTCTGTAGCACTTTGCAGTCAATGGCGGTGCATTTGCCATACCAAGTGGTGATGCAGCCAGTCAAGATGCTCTCGATGGTGCAGCTGTATAACTTTGAGGATCCGAGAGCCCATGCCAAATCTTTTCAGCCTCCTGAGGGGGGAGAGGCGCTGCCGTGCCCTCTTCACGACTGTGCGGGTGTGTGTAGACCATGTTAGGTCCTTAGTGATGTGGATGCCAAGGAACTTGAAGCTCTCGATCCGCTCCACAACAGCCCCTTCGTTGTGGATGGGGGCATGTGCTCCCCTCTTTCTCCTATAGTCCACGATCAGCTCATTGGTCTTACTGACGTTGAGGGAGCGGTTGTTGTCCTGGCACCACACTGTTAAGTCTCTGACGTCCTCCCTGTATGCTGAGTCATTGCCGTCTGTGATCAGGCCTACCACCGTTGTGGCGTCAGCAACCTGATGATAGTGTTGGAGTCGTGCGTGGCCATATAGTCATGGGTGAACAGGGAGTACAGGAGGGGACTAAGTACACACCCCTGAGGGACCCCTGTGTTGAGGGTCAGTGTGGCGGAGGTGATGTTGCATTCCCTCACCACCTGGGGCCGGCCCTCAGGAAGTCCAGGATCCAGTTGCAGAGGGAGGGGTTCAGTCCTAGGGTCCCTAGCTTGGTGATGAGCTTGGAGGGGACTATGGTGTTAAACGCTGAGCTGTAGTCTATGAACAGCATTCTCACATAGGTATTCCCCTCTTGTCCAGTTGGGAAAGGGCAGTGCGAAGTGCAATTGAGATTGCGTCACCTGTGGATCTGTTGGGGCGGTATGTGAATTGGAGTGGGTCTAGGGTGTCTGTTAGATTAATTTGTATTTTAAGAATAATGACTAAAGGATTTCACCCCAAATACAGTATAAATGTGTGAACGGTGTTAGAGTTATAATGTAGTTGCAACCCACTAACAGAGGGGGGCGGGACTAAACATTCCAGGGTGAAGGGGACTGAGAAAACAGGTTAAAAAAAGCCTCCTAAAGGTGGGCGGAGCAAAGTGCCTTTGTGTGTCAAGGGGTATAAAACAGTATGTATGGGTTTTTGGCGCCAGAGCTCTCCATGAATAAAAATACAGATCATTCTTGCTGGTTGTGGACCTTGAATCATTTATGATTAAAACCAGAGCCTTACAACCTCTGGTAATGATTCAAGCTTAGGTTGAATTAGAGATAGAAATTATTGTGACAGTGTCTGCGATGATGGTGTCATGAACAGCCTTTCAATGCACTTCATAATTACAGATGTGCTACAGGGGGATAGTCATTTAGGCAGGTTACCTTGGTGCTCTTGGGAACAGGGACAATAGTGTTCAGCTTGAAACATGTTGGAATTACAGACTGGGACAAGGAGAGATTGAAAATGTCTGTGAAGACACTTGCCCAGCTGGTCTGTGCATGCTTTGAGAAAATGCCCTGGTATTCCGTGCGGCCTTGTGATTGTAAACCTGTTAAAACATTTTGCTCACATCGTCCACAGAGAGCGAGATCACACAGTCATTCAGAAAAACAGGGGCTTTCACGCAAGGCACTGTTTTATATTCCTCAAAGCGAGCATAAAATGCACTTAACTCGTTTGAGAGTTCTGCGTCGCTGGGCAACTCATGCCTGGGTTTCCCTTTGTAATCCGTTATCGTCTACAAGCATCGGCGCCGGTGTAATAGGATTCCACCTCCTATATTGTCTTTTTGCATGTTTGATGTCTCGTCGGAGGTCGTAGCGGGCTTTCTTGTATGTGTCCATGTCCGTGTCCCGTTCCTTGTAAGCGGTAACTCTAGCCTTTGGCCCAGCGCAGATATTGCCTGTAATCCATGGTTTTTGGTTTGGATACGTTCTTATAGTCACTGTGGGGACAACATCGTCTATGTATTTATTGATGAAGCAAAACAGTCTTGTAGTCTTGCGTCTGCTTCATCCGACCACTTCCATATTGAGCGCATCACTGGTGCTTCCTGTTTGAGCTCTTGTTTGTAAGCAGGAAGCAGGAGAATGGAGTCGTGGTCAGATTTGCCGAAGGGAATGAGGGAGGGCCTTGTGTGCATGTCTCTGGGTAGAATCAAAAGGGGTCTATAGTTTTTCCGCCCCTAGTGGCGCAGGAGACGTGTTGGTAGAGGTGAGGTAGGACGGGTTTAACATTTACATTTAAGTCATTTAGCAGACGCTCTTATCCAGAGCGACTTATAGTTAGTGAGTGCAAACTTTTTTTCATGTTTTTTTTTTTATTCATACTGGCCCCCTGTGGGAATCGAACCCACAACCATGGTGTTGCAAACACCATGCTCTACCAACTGAGCTATATCCCTGCCGGCCATTCCCTCCCCTACTCTGGACGACGCTGGGCCAATTGTG